TGTGTGTGTGTGTGTGTGTGTGTGTGTGTGTGTGTGTGTGCAGGTAGCCTTAATAAAGGCAGGTAGATTTTGTTCGTTGCAATCACTTCACCTCACAAACAAACACGTCGCTTTGAACTGTGTTTAACATGTAAAGTTTTTTGTATGTAAACAATTATTTTTTATTCAAGCAAAACATTGCGATGGATGAAAATTTAAGTAAATTGCTGTATAGCTTTAATAGTGACTTCAACGGTGTTACTAACAACAGCCATGATCAACCGCCAACAACAGCTAGGTTGGTAATAAACAAATCTTCATAAAACTAACTTCATTCATGCAATTCAGTTGCCGGGACAGAATTGCATAGTCTGATAAGAAGAAGTTCATGGATTCTATCGCGCAACCAAATCCCTTCAACAAAATTGCATTGTCTGATACAGGCTTCAGGTAATTCATTATTTAAAAAAATCCAAGGTATTTGACGTTATGAAAACGTTTTAATATAACGCTATTTAATTTACATTAGAAAAGTATTGGTTTTTGATTTTAAGTAAATGACATAATATTGTATTTATCAACAATTAAGGTTACAACAGAGTTTTGTTTCATCCGCGTACAAAAGTATACTTAATACATATAAAATTTCAACAATGTAATTTATAAATAATACAAAAAGAATAAGTGATGCCAAGACAGAGTCTTGAGGCACTCCAGATGTTGTAATTACAAATAATTTAAAGACTCAATATACCTCTCTGTGTTGTCTAAACAAGCACCATACTTTAGTTTGTCTAGTTTATATATACATACCTATAATATAAAATAACCTAATTTTTAGGATTTTATTGTATGTATTATAATAACAGTAAGCAGAGGTCAAAAATGTCATATAACGTAGTAATAAAGTTGAATGGCGTTATTTCCACTTGTATCTATAAATATATAATTAGTATTTTTTAAATAAATTGTAAAAAAGGAAACGATTTTTTACTAAAAAACACGTGAACTTTATCTAACAAACTGTTCAAAATGTCCGCCATTAACATCCATGTAATAATAAAATCGATTATCTATCTCTTCTCTAACATTCTGCAACATATCGGCAGTTAACCTTTAACATTCTACAGTTATGCGTTCTTGCAGAACTTGAAGAGAAGCAGACTGTGTTTTATAAACTGTAGACTTTAAATGACCCCAGAGAAAGATTTATTTAGAGAGTCTCACACTCAACATCCTGAAAAGTTAAATGCCTGGGCAGGTATCTTAGGGAATAACTTAATCGGCCCATTCTTTTTGCAAGGCAATTTGACTGGAGAGATGTATCTTACTTTACTTCAAGACAATATTGTTCCTAGAATAAGGGAGGTCATTGCCGAAGATAATAACATGAAGTGTTTTTTTCAACAAGATGGGGCTCCAGCCCATTATGCATCCCCCGTTCGGCAATTCCTCAACGAATATTTTAGAAGTCATTGGATTGGCCCTAGGGGATCTATTGAGTGGACTGCAAGGTCCCCTGATCTTTCCTGTCTAGACTTCTTTCTCTGGGGCCATTTGAAGTTAATAAATACGAGTGAAGTAAGCAAATAACCAATTTTATTTTATAATGAGTTGAGTAGATACATATATCGGGGAGGTATAGACACAGAATATCCTAACTACACAGAAGCGACATAAACGGCGGCTCCTTTGATGTTGGCGTGGTGAAAATATTCGACCTTGAACGGTGGTGAACAACATGTTACACTGAGAGAAAGGTTATCACTCTCAGAGATATACTGAAAAAACAGTTTATAAAATTTACTTTGAGATATTAAGCCTTTAAATTTTTATATGAATGAATAATATAATCCGTAATTCCAGTACAATTTCCAATAGTTTGTGGCATAAAGCATATAGCATAAATTTGGACATAAATTATATTACATTGGTTGTCGATGTAAGGCATGATTTTATGTTTAATTAAAAAAAAGCTAATTTGATTTACACATGATACGAGTCTGTTACTACTATAATTAAAAATTTCGTGTAAATGGGATATAGTTATAAATAAATCCAAATATCACAAAAAAAAAATTTATTTTTTAATATTAAATAGGTACATAATATTATTTACTATTCGTAAATAATGGCCCATAGAGAAATACTAGATTCCTTACCTCAAAATATTACGATTGGAGCCAACATTTCTTAATAAAATGTTGATAATAAAAAAGATACAGGGTGTCGAAGTTAAAAATTAAATTTTGGTAATAATTATGTTATAGATAAGAATGTAAAAATTTTAGTGTAAATTTTTTTGGTAGCATCATCTGTTATTTATTTCGATGTATTTTCTAGAGGGCACCACATAAGCCATTTGTGAGACGTAAATGTGAGCGTAACTTTTTTACGAGCAACGTAAAGCTTTTAAATAATGAGAAGTTTTAAGTAACAAGTTTTTATTATTAAAAAATCTTAAAAGTAAAGAATCCAGTATTTCTCTATGGGCCATTACTTACGGACCACCCTGTATTTGTAACATTTTATACAAATATACCAAATAAAGTTTTCCAAAGTCCACCTTTGAACAGATGTTCAAAATGTAGCTCGCAAAGTCGATAATTATGTGTCTCTGAATTTTTCTCGAGAAGATCCTCTCTCTTGCACGCTCTCAACCATGCTGAAGCTCTAAAAGAAAATTGTTTAGTTTATTTCATTCAATACTATTTAGGTAGGTATATAATGTACATAAATTTAGATTTTTATTAATTATCAAAACATATACTTAATAATTCTGGTATACATTCAATATATTTCAAATTTTGTAATACATAGCTAAATATTACATTACCTACTTTAGTCTTCGGGAATGGAAAGAAGCTTAGTCCTCTACCAGTTTTGGATGGGCACCCTCGACAAATACAATGATTCGACGATACATCACAAATATTATGTCTGTTTAAATAGTTACTAATATTAATCATTCACACTAAGTCTATAATAAATAAATACTAATAATAAATACACAAAAGTGAGGTTGGATTGAATTATCGATTGGTAAATTAGCTTGGTTCTTTGACGGAAAAACAACATGTTTCCATGGCGATTTTACACATGCGCACTGGAAATCGGCTTACGCGGGAAATCACTTTGTCGCTTCTGTGTAGTTAGGATATTCTGTGGTATAGATAGTATACTACCTAACCTAAAAACTAGAAGTCAAGTCAATAATTATTGCAATTTGTTTTTATAGTGGTAAATAAAATGTTTCGAAAATAATTTAAATATGGTAATAGTATGTGCAGTGAATGACTGTCAACAGATTTAAATGAATAACAGTACGTTTGTGATCTGTATTTTCAATCTAATGATGTCCAGCAGTTCTATATTACAACTTGACCGAATAGTGGGTTAATATTATGGCAAAAGGTCGAATAATTCGGAAGTTGGAAGCAGCTTATTTGATTCTCAATAAGGTAGAGAAATTTTTAAATAGAAAGATTTCATAAGTGAAAATATTGTATAATTGAATAATGCGTTGTTTCTTTATATATCTTGCAGCAGCAACAGCAGCAACAACAACAAAAGCATTATTATCTATTTAGTTTAATTACAGTCCGGAATGACATATTTTCATTATTTATATCATTCAAAGTAGCTTACATTATTTATTTTAAAATTTTTAACACATTATAAAAATGACATGATTGATTTATAATTCAAATTGCCGCTTTTTTATCTCCCCTCTCTAAACGGTACATATGGGACACTAGCGCCCTCTTATTTTGGTAAGATTTTTGTTTACATGGAGTTCGGGCTCCTTGTGTAGTCTCCATGAATAAAACCTGGGTGACTAGAAACCTTACGTAAACTAGAGTGAGACAGCATGTACTGAGATAGTGTCTGTCTCTATCAAACACTCGGCCACACTTTTCGCAATGACATGCTACCTCCAGTAGTATATGCTCGAAGGTTTGTATTTTCTGAGAATTAAAGCATATCCATGGAGGAAGCACGTTTACAGTGACAATATAAACGAGTGACAGAGAGAGAAAGAGTTAGTTTGAGTACTAGCTTTCTCTCTCGCACGGGCACCTGATTGGCTAACGCAACTCCATCCTCAACGATTAGAGAGAGCGAGTACCGTAACTATTGCTCTTTCCTTTTATAGCATACACACTTTTTAACACATCCCTCATACATAACATTACTCCAAGATCTACGACCCCCTGGTCACAGTATAGAAAACAGTAAATTCACTGCCTATCTAACCTATTTATAAAAAATGGACCCTAGTTTCATTTTTTATGTCGCTTTAAGTGACTGTGCAGAGACCACGCGCAAGTAGGAGTACCTCAGAAGCTAAAAGTTAAGCAGGGCTTGTTGATGGACTAGTGTTGTATTCCACCCTTCGAGCGAGCTTCAGGATTTCAGAACACCCCGTATATTCATAGAAGTCATAATTTTGTACCTACGGATATGCCGGAGACCGCTGAATTGAAAAGGAGGCGAAACAATCATATTCACCTACCTTTCCAATTCAAACCAAAAACCCGCCACGGTTGCGAAATCAATCGTCGTCGGCCGGGCAGAATGAAAAAGCCTCCATAGGAGTCTTCAGACATCGATCCTCACGGCGATAGCGCTCCCAGAGCGTTAAAGACCAATTTCACCGACCTTTCCAGTGTCACCCGCATCGCGACCGATCTCGCCTGGGTCTGCCATCCCGGCGCGCAGTGACCACTGCCGCTGCTCTCGCAACCTGCAGTCGAACCCCGGGACGCTTCACGATGACATTTGGAAATGGCCATTAGAAATTTCACCACCCTTTTGAATTGGTCAAGGACGCTATCGCCAATAACTCCAAAAGTTATTGAGCGATCGGTGTCAAAATTTAATGCAGCACTCCTCAAGTCGCTAGCATTATCTTACTAAATTTTCGTCCGAATCGGATGAGCCAAAACGCCGTTATACGGGGAAACGCGGATTTCACGTTTTCCGCGTTTTCAGCCGTTCCGCTCATTCGATCTCGGCCGAACCCTCCAACCACACTAGAGTATCGCTAGGTGGTTGTCATATCCAAATTCGAACCGAATCGCCCGACTACTAACGGCCAGCTAAGCCATAATAGGTTTTCACGCCTTTAGAGCTGCCGCCGAAAGTATCCGCGCGATCTCGGTCGAACCCTCCAACCACGGCACTATGTCATGCCGTGTATCAACAGACAAAATTTCAAATGAATCCATCAAGAAATAAGACCTCCGTAGGCCCTTTTACGAGGACGGGGAAAATATCACCTATCTTTCCAATTTCCCCGTCTTTGGGCCGAAAGGACCGTCTTCCGAAGGTTCCACCGCTCTGGCGGTTGGATGCGATGCTCGGCAGCCTAAGCCGAGACCGCGGGTAGAGTTTTTCCCAAACCGGGAAAAAACTCCAAAATCCCCGATGCCGACATCGACAATCCGTAGAGGCCAGAGGGGAACGAGTCCCGGCGTTGATGGGGACGATGGATGATTTTGGTTCGAGATTTTGGCGGACAATTCAAGGCCCGGTCCGCCAAAAGTATGGAAATCCCAAAAAAGCGACTGAACGTCTACTTGCGACGTTTGCAGGCTTATAGTGGGAGTACATGAGACGGAAAGCGATACAGAGCGAATTGTAACAAATCTTATTCATGATAAATAACTTGTATATGTTAAATTGTGAATCTTTATTGTCTGTTAATTCTTTTCAATATATACTTTTAACATATCTTCCACAGTTTGATTGAAAAAACTCTGTCATCAAGCTCAAGAACTTTGGAGCTCAATCTCACAGGCTCGCCTCACGAGGCTTCCGACGAGGCCGCCATTCCTCGACGTGATATTAATAGTGCCTTGCAACCACTACTCGCTTCACGAGATATACCATCCGAGGTAGCCTAACCTGAGGTGAAGACCCTGTTCGATAGCCCCCTGCATCGAAACAGAGGTACATTTCCAGGATCTACTTGAGACCTGCGATACCGTCCGAGACTGACCACCTCCGACGAAGATCCTGTGCGATAGCCATTCGCATCGACACAGCGATACTCCAGGCTCCTCCAGAGACCTGCGTCCCGCCGAGGTAGCCCAACCTGAGGCGAAGATCCTGTTCGATCGCCCCCTGCGACGAAACAGCGATACTTTCAGGCTCCTCCAGAGACCTGCATACCGTCCGAGGCTTGCGACCCTCCGACGAAGACTTTGATTCCGACTGTGCCGGCTCCATCGAGAGACCCGCACCTCGGTACAAAGTACACACATAGGCTCCTACGAGACCTACAATTCAGACTCCATTGAGATCTGCAAATCCGAGGCAATCTTCCTCGTCAAACTTCTAGGCGGTCACTCGTCGAGGCAACCTTCCTCGTCAAACCCCTACGAGGCATTTACTTTGTGACCTACGGGCACAAAGCAATAGTACGCACGTTATTGTGGCGGCGTACTTCCAAATTTAGTAAAGAAGTTATCCTTACTTCTAGGGCTCCCTCGAGAGACCCACATTTAATAGTAGAGTCAGTGCTTACTACAAGACGTCTACAAGACTTTCGGAGCAAAAGTGCTTGCTCCGACATTGTCGTACCGGGAAGATGAACCCCTGCGACGCGACTACGAAATCCAGTGCTACGAGGATTGGTGCCCTCGAAGGTAATACTACGAATAATAAATTAGATCGTGTGAGTATGATCAAGACTGAGCTGGACGAGACCTCGTCCCAAATCGGAGAGACCAGCGGTCACACGAACTGCCCTCACACCTGTTTGCCGGCGAAAGATCTCTCGACATTCGGGGTGAAAGAGGAAATGGCCTCTCCTGCCAACGCTATATCGATGCTCCGCGAAGAGTCTGAGGGACCGAAGATGGTGGCTCGCGGAAGTACGCGGCACGGCGCAGCCACAGCGCCGTACGCGTTGAGGTCCGCTGCTACGCGAGTTACTGGCACCATCTCGACCACCCCTCACGACGCACTCGCGGATCCGAGTAGCAACCAAGAGTTACCACGAAGTGGGTCACCCACAGATACTCGGGACGAGGTTCAACCTACGTACCAACTGGTAGGGTCCGGGGAATCCCATGAGTCCAACCACGGTTCACGGTCTGGCCCCGATAGCGGCCTACTTCCGATGTCGGGTGTTTCGGAACGTGAGCTAGCCGTCGGTGACGACGCTACAGTTCATTCAGCTTTTTTACGAAGTGGTATCCAGCGGGAGCAATGCGCATCGCGTTCGGGTGCCATAGTAAGCGAAAACCCCTTAGCCGACTACGTCGTAGATGACGAAGCCAGCCTTTTTTATCAAAACAATACTTGTACGTCGCCCGTCCATTCTCATGATTTCCCCCGAACATACGATCACCGCCTAAGTGGTCCATATCAAGAAAGTCTAACCCGACACAGCGCTCAACGCGGAGCTCGACATTCTTCGTCGAGATCACCCCCCCCCAGGGTTCGTGTCCTAGACACCACGTCTGTAGGTCATATCCACCACAGATTCCAGTCATCTGAGAATATAGTGCGACCGGGCGTCGATAGCGACGATCCCCGTGAACTCCGTGCGTTTCTGCCGCGGAACCCGGTCAAGGGAACTGACATCCCAGATCATAGGTTGCGACATGGTTTCTAACGTGGAGCTCAATTAGAACTCCCGATGTCTCCACTGAGGACCCATGCCGACCAAATACCGCATTCAGATCATATTCCGCGACATGGCGCTCGACGTGGGGCTCGAAGTCCAGCTTCGACGTCTTCGCGGCGAGCCCATGTTGCTAATTCCCCGCACAATTCTCAAACATTAGGCACAAACGGTCATATATCACGACATGGTGCCCAACGTGGAGCTCGATTCGAACTTCCGAGGTCTCCACCGAGGGCCCATGCCGTCGTTACCGATCTCATCGATCATATTCCTCGACACTAGGCTATATTATTATGCTGTGGACTAGGCGATGGGCTTGCTATTGCGCATAGACCACGCGTCCCTTCACTGGACTATATAGTCTTCTTTTCAATCTCATTTGATTTTGCACATCTAGTAGTTTCCCATAATTTTCTACTGGATGAAAAAAAAATATTCAGAGGCAAGAATATTCCTAATAAGCGTTAAAGTTTTTTTTATCGAAAAAATGTACTTAAAAAAGAATCTAATAAAAATTGTGCAGGGGGTAGTTCATTTCAACGTCTTATAATAGGACGAGGACAATAAAAAAAATACTCATCTAGAAGAAGCTTTATCATCCTGCATATCATGACAAATGTCACTTTCTAAACTGTTTGGAAATAAATAAATAAAACTTTACATATTTCACCCCCTTTTAAGAGGTCGTAACTCCTCTAGGGGGCCTTAAATAAAAAAAATGTATATGAAGGACCCCTATTAAAAGTATTTAAACAATTGANTTCAACGTCTTATAATAGGACGAGGACAATAAAAAAAATACTCATCTAGAAGAAGCTTTATCATCCTGCATATCATGACAAATGTCACTTTCTAAACTGTTTGGAAATAAATAAATAAAACTTTACATATTTCACCCCCTTTTAAGAGGTCGTAACTCCTCTAGGGGGCCTTAAATAAAAAAAATGTATATGAAGGACCCCTATTAAAAGTGTTTAAACAATTGACCCTTAAATCCTCAAATTTTTTGCACATTATTCGGAATCACCCTGTACATATATGTAGGTTTTATACACATTAAAATTTAGCCAAATGATTTATAATTATTGCATAAATATATTCGTAATTCGAACTTCAACCTACAAACTAAATTATATGTTTTGCTTTAATTCTAAATTTATTTATACTACAACCAGTAACAATCACAAATAAAATATAAAATATCTCCTTATCTTGTAAGAGGTAAATGTAAACAGTAAAAAAGTTATTTTATTGGCATTGACCTGAACATCACTCAAATTTTTTCATGAATGAATAGAAATCCCTTATTTATGGTCAACATCTGACATACACGTGTCGTCTTTGCGTTTTATCAAAAAATAAGGTATAAACTAATAAATAAGACATAACAGGATCCATTGTGTTTACATGCACTGCCCTTGGCGAATACCTACATAATAAACAGAACCATTTTTTTATAGTTTTAGGACTGTAAATTATAAAAATTCTAAGTAAATCTTGAGATTTATTAAATGATTATACGTCTCTCTTGACTCAGTAGTTTCATCTTCGATCCTTAAAGTTTAATATTTTGGATCTGTAGATTTTAGAACTGTGTTTTATTATAGATTTGGTGGTGTTCTGTAATTTGAGGTGATAAGTATTTCGAGGGGGGCATTTAAGATAGTTAGCCCAGGGCGGCCGAAACCTTAGAGCCGGCCCTGTAAGTAAGGGCACTATACTCGGCGGCCGAAATTATAAAGAGTGACTAATACATAATATAAAAACACTATTACCATAATGCGTATAAAATATAAAATGATTTCTATACGGTTCAATATTATTTATCTTTGTGCCGCTCGCCAAGCACATCGGTAGAATCTATAATCGTGTATAGACTGAGTTACACTGAACGTCGATCTATATTTTATCTCTGTCTTTTGCACTTGGTAGGGAATAGGGAAATGCTTTTTTAGTGGGTGTAAACGGACTTGATTTGCCCGACCTGAGAAACGTCATAGCATAAGCGTAGACGAGGGGTCTAATTCCATGGCTATAATAAATTTATAAATTAAAAAAACACAACTGGGACGTTTTAAAATGTGGTAATAATTAAAATTGATCAAAGTGCCGGTTATAGCAAACCGTAAAAAATATTAGATGTTATGTTTTATTATGTTTTTTCAATATTTTCTATATCTTGTTGCCTTTTACGCAGACACGCCAATGGATTTTCGTTCCCGGCACGCTTCATCCCCCTTACTAGTCCAA